TTTTGGATTTTCTATTAAAAAATGATAAACTTATGGAGAACGTTTTTTCAAAACAATGATAATTTCAAAAATTATGTTCATGTATTTTTGTACATTTTGAAGGATTACGATTTAATTAATAAAAAACAACTATTTTTATGTGCTAATTTATATCTATTTATTTATTTTTCCTATTAACAATTGCTCAAGGAAATGGCTGTTTTCATTTTGTCATTTCGGTAATGAGCAACAAACTTTCCTTGGACGGACTGCAACATGTCTAGTGTTATTTTAGAACTGGCAGTGCTTATTCTTTATATCTTGAATCATGGTCAGTTGTTGAAATAAAATTGGATTCTTCACGAAATATGGTAGGAAATAATCGTTTGGTTAGGTCTGTGACTAAGGTAACCATGAAAAATTGTTCTCAAATATTCAGTCCATCATTTTGAAAACTTGTTTAAATTCACCCTAGAATTTAATTAAAAAACGAATACTGGTTTTGTACCATTAAGAATCGATTAAAAATTAACCATTAATAATTTTGAAACTGTTTCAATTGATTAGCTTATTAAAAAGTTTGTTTTTTCGTTATCTTTCAAAATGCCTGAATATATATGCTCATAACTTTTGAAATTATCATTGTTTTGAAAAAAATAAATATTAATATGTTCTCAATAAAAGTTTACTTTTTAATAGAGAATGCTAAAATTAAAAAAAAAATTGGAGGTTCTATTTTGAAATTAACCCAGCCTCACTCAGAAGTGGGATTGAGTGAGATTTTATTTTTATGGCATTAAAATTCCTTGAAAATATTAAACGTATTTTAGTAGAAGCATACTTTTCAAGTTATTAGAGAGATTGAGGCGCACGTTTTAAACGTGTAAACGTGTACGTGTGACGTTCGGCGCCGCTTTCCCGTAAGCCTAAAAGTTTGACGATGGTGTTTGGAATGTCGAGCGTGATTCCACCGACTATCCAAACACCATTGTCAAACTTTTAGGCTTACGGGAAAGCGGCGCCGAACGTCACACGTACACGTTTACACGTTTAAAACGTGCGCCTCAACCTCTCTATTA